GATGCTCCAGTCCCTTCCTCAGCCTTTCCTCAGCAGGGAGATGCTCCAGTCCTTTCCTCAGCCGTTCCTTGGCAGGGAGATGCTCCAGTCCCTTCCTCAGCCGATTCTCGGCAGGGAGATGCTCCAGTCCCTTCAGCATCTTTGCTGCCTTTCACTGGATGCTCTCCTGGAGCTCCGTGTCTCTCCTGTCCCGAGGAGCCCAGAACGGGACAGGAGAGGGTTTACAGGAGTTTTTCCACGGCCGTGTCGTTTCCCACCCTGGCGTGGGGCGGAGGAAGGAGGAGGAGGAGGAGGCCGGGATCGACCGGGGGTGGTGGGGGTTGATGACAGGTCATGGGCTGACACCGACGCTGTGATTCACTCCTCCTTCGCACGGTCAAAACTCCTTCAGGAGCACCGGGAAGGGCTTGGATGGAGTTCAGGATCCTTCCTGCGTTAATTTATTTGCCCTGAAAAAGATGGAACAGAGAATTGCTCCTCTTTTTTACCCTGGATTCCTTAAAAGAAAGCAGGATGTGTACATATGCTCATAGGAATTTTATTCTCTTATTGCATACATGTCCTCGTTGTTTTTTTCTCTTATAATTACTGCAGGATTAATTATTATTGTTTGTGTGAAACTACAGTAGTTCTGTATGAGCTGCTTTCTTTAGCAGAACTATTTAGGTCGAATATTTTATCTTGGCACATTCTTTGACAGCAAACTTAGCCCACCTCAGTGCTATGACCACTGTTCAGTCCAGCAGTTGTTCCTGGCTACAAAATGAGTAACCAGTGCTCTCTTTACTCCTGGTTGTGTGAAGCTGGAGAAGGTGTGGTTGTATCAGCAGAGCTCAGGTAACACCCGCTGTGATCAGCCCATCCCTGACGTGTGAAACATGAGCTGGGCTGCTCAGTTTCTGATAATTACAGTTGCATTTTGTGGTTTGCAGGAGTGACACAGCAAGGATCAGAAGTGTGTCATTCTCCCCTGAGAAGGAGAGCTGCTGCTGTACAGCTTTAGAAAATACCACATAAAATTGCRAAAGTGCTTGAGTATACAAATGTGAGCTTTTGCATCGTGTTTAAATTGTGGTGACTTCCCTACACTTATGTAAAGGAGGGTGTTTTCATGTTAAATCAATGAGATAGAGAAAGAAAGTTTTATGCAGTTGATGTCCAACCTGATTATGAGGTTTTATGTGATCTTCTTTCAAAAATCAGCCTGGAGAAACAGAAGGCTTTGGGGTGACCTAATTGTGGCCTTCCAATATGTGAAAGAACACAAGAAAGATGGAGAGAGACTATTTACAAGGGTCTGGAGTGACAGGACAAGGGGCAATGGCTTCAAATTGAAAGAGAGTGGGTTTAGATTGGGTATCAGGAAGCAGGGGGATATCAGGAAGCATTTCTTCCCTGTGAGGGTGGGGAGGCCCTGGCACAGGGTGACTGGAGAAGTTGTGGCTGTCCTGTCCCTGGAAGTGACCAAGGTCATGTTGGATGGGGTTTGGAGCACCCTGGGATAGTGGAAGGTGTCCCTACCATGGCAGGGGTGGCACTGGATGTTCTTTAATGTCCTTTCCAACCCCCTCCATGATTCTAGGAAATACGTTTTAGTGCCTTACACAGAGACACACACAKATTCTCCTCTGATAACATCAACCTTTGGTGTTCTTTCACATTGAACTATTCAGTGTTTAGAATGGTTTCATTTTAAATTGTTATTTCTTATTATATTTGTGGAAAGTTGGCCTGGTCAAGATTCTTCGTTATATTGTCCTGTTTTTCTTTTTGTCCTGTTTTTCTTTTCATAGCTTTTATATTATAAATACCTGTAATATTATAATTCATATCCTGATGTCTTTGTTTCATTGCAGGAGACACCAACAAATGGAACACAAATTAACCTAAGCCTACAGGAGGCTGGTGACACGTGAAAGAGGGTAGGTGAGATAAAGACATAAAGATGTGTTCCAATTGAACTTAATAATAAATGCTGGGAGTTGAACACAATGAGGTAAGATGTGGAAGAACATTCCCATSTGGATGCCARAAATGAAMAAACACTTGTTTTGGATGAGCTTTGGACACACAAGAGATGATATTTAAATGTGGTCTGCAAATCAGAGCTTAAGTTTCTATGGGTCACCTAAGTAGCTATTAAAAAAATAAAGGATATTCTGATTGAAATTGTAGCATTGTAAATGATTTTGGATTATAATCTGCAGGAATAATGTGACAGACTCGTTATCCTCCTTCCAGCTGTATCCCAAATTCATTATGAATTGAGGCTTTATAAAGGTTTGTTATTTACAGTCCACYACTGATTTCTGGTGAATATTTTAGTTATTTCAGTTCAAAATAATGGAATGGATTGAGACTTGTACTCAGGATACGAAAGTAAAATTCTGGGAGAGCTTTGAAGTAGTGCTTTCTCTAAGGCTTCTTCTTTACTAATGACCGACATTCAGTTGGTTTCCTAACATTTCATTTGACTGACCCAAATCTGGGATTTTTTGGAGCCAGATGTTCATTGGAAAAACAGTCAGTGAGACAGAAGTGTCCTTCAGGTGACGTACAGGAAGGGATACAGTCTTTGAAGTTTTTGCKGGAATTGTAATTGTTTTAATAAAACTTAGAGCAGCAGAATGTTAGAGCGTGTCTTTCAAACATAAATATTTTTCAAGTTTCTTTCTTTTAATTCAAGGGGTTTGAGAAGAGCAATGGACTCAAATTTCCYTTTTATCCCTTCCAGAAAAAGTGGAGAGGCCGTGCTCTGTCCTTTTTATCTGACGTGTTGGGGTACATTTTAGAGCATGTTTGCTACTTAACAGGGAACTAAAATTCAGGTATGATTTTTTTTTTTAAAGGGAAGTTGATTTTGATGATTTTGTCTTTTTATCCAATTTGATATTGTTACTATGTTACTGTTGATGAAAACAATTTCCCCAGAACTTGTATTTGGTGATCTTTGGTACGTTGTACTGTGTGATAAAAGTAATTCTTCACTTAAAAAAATCCAACCTAAAATCTGAACTTGTTTTTACGAGTGCATTCAAATTCAATGACTCTTGTGTTCTGAAAACATTTTCCTTTCTRGGCAGGAGAGGTTGTAAATGAAAGAATCAATATGGGGGAAAAGAAGGCAGAACCGCTGGATTTTGTGAAAGATTTTCAGGAATATCTGACCCARCAGACTCACCATGTCAATATGATTTCTGGATCAGTTACTGGTGACAAAGAAGTAGAGACTCTCCAGGGAGGTGAGCTGATTTCAGTACCATAAATTTGATTTTTTTGAGAGTGACTTCACTGTTCACAGTCCAGATAATGCTGCAGCTCTATGGAAGCATTTCTGGTAGTCATTTTCACATCACAAAATATGTGAAAAATGCCTTTGTTTTAATCACAGTATGCTTTTATAGTTCTCCATATTTAAAGACCAAGGGCATAGTGAAGAAAAAGCTCTTTGGCATTTGCTCACAGCRTGACAGATGGTATCACACAGATTCTTCATTAAAATTTGTGTTGCATTGTTCACAGCTGGGACAGAAGGGGATCAGAATGGTCTGGATCATCCTTCTGTTGAAGTTTCACTGGATGAAAACTCAGGAATGTTGGTGGATGGGTTTGAAAGGACATTTGATGGAAAGTTAAAGTGTCGATACTGCAACTACGCCAGCAAAGGAACGGCACGGCTCATAGAGCACATCAGGATTCACACAGGTATGGAATGTTCTGCTCTACTTGGCCCAGAGGCCTTGGGCTATTCACTCAGCAYTGAGATTTGCATGTCAGGAGTTGGAAAATTGAAGCAGTGTGAGAGATCTTAACAGTAAATGGGGGTTGGGGGTTTTTTATAGTCTATTTTTGTAAAGGTGTGCCGTGTACCTATTTAAACTGTGCAAATTCTTACTGACATTTATTATTATAAGTAACTATATGGAAGTAAAGYTAGCACAAAAACATCAATATAAATYGAAGKGCCCTAAAAATAAYYTCATTTTTCTGTGCTGATGAGAAAAGTGACAATTATACTGTTGCTATGTGGAGATTTATAGGGGCTTTTCTTCCTCTGTTGTTTAGCTATAAAAATACTCTTGTTCTGCACAACATTCTAGATGTGGAAGTACAAAACATAGTAATAAGAATAAAGTTATTGGTAGAATGTTTAAATGTGAGGACATATCATCAAGTAAGTGATTGATGACAGTGATGAGAAAGAAACCTACTGTGGCTTGTTTAGTTCTGAACTGTTCCTGACAGCTCCAACTTCATGGCAAATGAGAGGAAAAAAATGTGCTTGTGAAGTCTGTCAAGTGTATCACACCAATACRGAAAAATTTTAGGCTGTTGAGTAGCAAGAAAAAAGTGTGTTCTGCAGAGAATGACAGTTTTTACAGGTTTCCAGTCTGGTTTGTACTATCCCAAAATTTCCAGGTGTCTCATTTCAGTGGTCTTGGGCAGTGGCATTTTGGATTCACTGTGAAGTATTGTAACTGGGATGTAATTGTAGCTGTCCTCAGATAGTTAGTCATCTGTTAGATCATAGTCAGATCCCACTTTACTGGAAACATTGCTTCCACATTGCATCCCTGGATGGGTTTTGGGGAAGTCAGTGCTCCTTGCCCTGGCCCTGCAGTGTTGGTTTGTTTCAACAGGGCATAATGGGATAGGAAATGGCAACCAGCTAGAAATCAAAGAGTTCTGAGGTTCAGATTCTGAAGACCTGGTAGATTCTTCTCTTGTGTCTTCCAGAACAAAAAAAAAAGTTATTTTGGTTTGGTTTTCCTGGTTTGTTTTGTTTTTTTCACTCAAGGGCAAGGGGGTCCAAGGCCTGAGTGTTGTTTTGCTTGGAAGCATGGCAAAGGGCCAGGAGTTGGATTGCTTGTGCTGTGAAGGCTCAGATGAGTCAGCAATAAAACAGGGAAGTGGCAGCTGACTCACAGCCTCAGAGCAATGTAAATAAACAGGTACTGCATCCTGGACATCTACCAAAGTAATTGTGACCTTGGCATGGTCTTGCAACCATTATTATTAATATTATTAATTGCAACCTACTGCAGGATTGACTTCGTGCTGAGYCTGACAGCAGATAATGAGTAATTCACCAGCTATATTGTGCTACATGTGATGCAAAACTTTTATCTCTATGTAACCAGTTTGGAATGAACTGAGACCATTCAGATTGGTAAATTTTGTGTGAATATAGGGAAGTATTTATCAGTCTTCTCACACCATTGTACCAAATCTCCAGGTCTTTACACATCTTTGCATGTGTATATGAATACATAGATGTKTTCATGGAGAAATCATGGTTTCACTTGGTGCAAAGAAGATACTTGGAGGTAGCACAAAAATTTATTTCTTTCTTCTTGGAGAGCCAGTGATGTAGGGGGAAAAAATGAAGTCTCTTTGGTATCCCAGGTTGTGATTCCAAACTGATGCCCATCAGTTGCATGACAGAGATTTAGAAATTGAGCTGGAGCTCTAGATAGGAAGGATAAGATGATCTTTCATTTCAGCACCTGAACACACATCAAATCCTTTAGGCATTTCAGACCTGGATCTGTGTGACCCTGGATTGATCCTCCTAGATTACCAGTCCATCAAGGGAAAATCAGAAGTCCTTAAAGTGCTGTGTTACAAATGTTTTGGCAGTTACTATGTTATAAATCTTTCTGAGTATTTTTTTGAAAGTTAACTTATGTATCTATAAATTTCATTTAATAGAAGAGCAAAGTTCTGCCTGTGCAAAAAGGAGATGATGGTCACTCTGATAATCATCCCACCTCATATGTGGGAGGGCCCACAGCTCTCTAGGGAATACCTGGCTTTTGTTTTCTGTTATAACTCTTTAGCCACAGGATCCTTTATCTAAGCTCAGTTCTTGTGTGGCTGCCTGTGTGAATGCTTTATTTAGGTGGTAKTTCCAGGACAATTAAAAATAAGGATATTTGGAAGGTCCCACAAGGACTCCCCCTCACTGTTCAAACACAGTTATGAAGAACAGTAACATTTTGGTGATACAGATGTTCCTCTGTCTCCCTGGTCCTGTGCACACCATGGGTTGTAGAGAGGTTGGATCCAGTTGAGGGCACCACAAACATCACTGCATTCAGTCCTTGGTGTTGTTGCTGCAATTCCCAGGCAGGTTATGTGTTGTGTGAATTCCACTCAGGATTTTTCCCTGTGCTGATGATCCCTTGGGTAAGGCAGACCTGTCCCAGTGTTCTCCACTCCCCAGGATGCTCAGCTGAGCTTGAGGCTGACAGTGACTGAAGTTTGATGAGCAGATCACAGTGAGCCACTCAGTGTCCCACACAAAGCCTTTTCCAGGCACTCCCAGGTGCTATGGGATAATCTGTTCTGATTTTCCAGGGGAGAAGCCTCACAGGTGCCACCTGTGCCCCTTTGCTTCGGCCTATGAACGTCACCTGGAGGCTCACATGAGATCCCACACCGGGGAGAAACCCTACAAGTGTGAGCTGTGCTCCTTCCGCTGCAGCGACCGCAGCAACCTGTCCCACCACCGCCGGCGCAAGCACAAGATGGTGCCCATCAAGGGGACGAGATCTTCCCTGAGCAGCAAGAAGATGTGGGGGGTTCTGCAGAAGAAGACCAGCAATTTGAGCTACAGCAGAAGAGCGTTGATTAATTTGAGTCCGCCTTCCATGGTGGTGCAGAAACCAGACTACCTTAATGATTTCACTCAYGAAATCCCCAATATCCAGACTGAGGCGTACGACGGCATGACAAAAACAACTCAGAGTGGTGGCTTGCCAAGAGATCCACAAGACCTCATGGTGGATAATCCTTTAAAYCAGCTCTCCACGTTAGCAGGACAGTTGTCCAGCTTGCCACCCGAGAACCAAAATCCAGCCTCTCCTGACGTTGTTTCCTGTCAAGATGAAAAGCCTTTCATGATACAGCAGCCTGCTGCACCTGCAGTAGTTTCAGCTGTGTCAGCAAATATTCCTCAGAATTCCTCTCCAACCAGCCCTGATTCCCGGCCAGCACACAATCAGAGGAACTATAGCCCCGTGGCCGGGCCCAGCAGTGACCACAGTGCCCACACCAGTACACCCAGTATCAGTAACAGCCAGCCCAGTACTCCAGCTCCAACCCTCCCAGTGCAGGACCCTCAGCTCCTGCACCACTGCCCACACTGTGACATGTACTTTGCAGACAACATCCTTTACACMATCCACATGGGATGCCACGGATTTGAAAACCCTTTCCAGTGTAACATTTGTGGGTGTAAGTGTAAAAACAAGTACGACTTTGCTTGCCACTTTGCAAGAGGCCAACATAATCAACATTGACTGAGAACATGCTTTTGTTTAGTTTTTTAACATATTACAGTCTATTTTTCATACTTGCTGATGGAAAGCTTGCACATTCCCGTAAGGAATCTTCACGTTATTTAGTTTGACAAAGGAGGCGAATTGATTTCTGTGTTCTTGTAAAACTTGCCAGGGAAATTTTGTATYAGATTTGGTTGTTATTTTAAATGTAGCCTTTCAAAAAAGCTCAGAGTGCTGTAAGGGTTGGAATGCATTTTCATGCTTTGGTTGCTAAATTTAAGTTGGTTGCACTTAATCCCAATAAACATTCTGCAAATGGAGAAGCAGAGCATGTGTCCTGAACCATAGGATGTAATTCYCAGACTGTTTACTAGGCAAGACAAGATCTATTGTCCATAAAATATGAAAAGTCAATGCAGTGACTTCTCATTGTCCATGTAGTGATWGGACAAGCAAGGAGTGGCTTCAAAGTGACAGAGGACAAGGTTAGATGGGATATTGGGAAGGAATTCTTCCCTAGAAGGATGGTGAGGATCCAGACCTGGATCCCTGCAAGTGTCCAAGGCCAGGCTGGACAGGGTTTGGAACAACCTGGGACAGGGAAGGTGTCCCTCCTTTAAGGTCCCTTCCAACCCCAACCATTCTATCACTCTGTAAGGTTACTTTGGAGAAATCCTTAAAAACTTGGCTAACTCAAACAAACCRAAGCAACTTTCAYRTACAAATTCCATTTGATGTAAAAGTTGCTTTAATCTGATGAAGGTTAGTAGTAAGTTCCTGTTTAGTGTAGTCTAAACTCTTCATGTTAGGGCTTAAACACTAATTTAACTATTAGCACAAAACTAGAAGGTTATTGTGAATAAAACTGGTAGGAAAAAATAGTTAAAAGCCTGTCATTCATGAGTTACAGAAACAAAAAAAGTAAGATACCTTATTTTACCTACACTCTACCAAAATTTTACATGTCATTCTTTTTCAGAGGAGGCAATTTTTAAAGAGACTTAATGAAGAGCCTGTAGAACTAATATATATTCTGTGAGATTTCTAACTGCCTTAAACTGAGTTGTACAGATRTTTAAAATTTGCACAATTAGACTTCTGTCCTGCTGATAGAAGTTCTGATAGAAACAAGCAAGAAGTTTACAAATTMAAACTCTTTTGTTCAGTTTTGCATAGGACCAGTCTACAACTGAGAGGTTGCCTGTGTGTTTGAGAGTCATATAATCCAATTTATTGTAAACTTCAGCTGACTCAGAGGCCTGGTTTGTCCYCTCTCCCAGATTTGATGTGCTCTGAGTGTGCTGGGAATAAGGGGAAGGATCTCTGGCTTTTTCTGGGTTCCAYGTAGGATGCAAAGGAAAACTGGCTGACTACACTGAAGTTATTTAGGATYTGTAGGTGACAAATGGTTACAAGTTGTTTGCTTTGGTTCATACTGTACATCTTTAGAAGCCCTCAGGCTAAAGGACAGGCACTTTAACATAAACCTAAATAAAACAGCCAAGCAAAATTATTAATTCATGTGCTAGGTAAGAATTTGAGACCTCAAAAATAAAGGAAGAACTGTTACTTTTCCCCTATTTAGACATGCACTTTTACCTTGGTTTGTCTTACTTGAGACAAATTAAAGCTTCCCTTATATATTCCCCTTTTCCTATCAGCAAACCATGTTTTCTTTAAAGCAAGAAGATTTTATTAATGCTCCACAAGTCAGAGATTGGAATCTGAATAGCAAATGTTTGGCTTATKCAAATTTATATTGTTGTGAGAGCTAAAACTTCCTGAAGCCAATKGAAAAATGCCAATGATCAGGGTAAGATCAGTGCAGGAAAACYACCTGTTTAAGTATTTTAGCTGTAGAAATAGTTTTGACCTTATTTAAATAGAAATTTGGATACCAGACTTGTTTCTCTCTACCTGACTTATCTGCTGTTGAATTTCTGTGCTAAGGAACTGCTTCTTGGCTTGTAGTAACAAGATCAGAAATCTGCCACTGAAGTGGTTCCAGTGTAGTGAAGATGAACAATAACACTGTCATTCCTAAAAAAAATCGTTTTGTTTTCAGGCCTGGTTCAGAATTCATTTTGGTGGGTTTGTAAGACAGAAGGTAATTTCCATTTTTCATCATGATGCTCTGTAATTCTGAAATATCTCATTGTTGCTTTATACTTTTAGGATTTATTTTATAAGTACAACTGTAACTGTGTGTGCATGGAGAATCCTATATGCTAAGGACTAAAATCTGACTGAGCTGTAATCCAGTTGGAAATTACTGTTCCTGAGTAGTTTTTTTTCCAATCAAAGAGGCAGAAATGGTGGCTCTCTTTGATCACATATTGAATTTTGGCTGAAATACAGTATAAGGAGAACACATTCCTCTTGAAGACATTTACAGTTAGTAATTTATGGAAGTGGTTTTCCTTGCCTTTTTGATAGATGATGCAATCTCCTATTCCTATRCTTTTGCAAGTTTTCCAAGGAAATTTGTGGAATGGTGGTGCTGCAGGGAGCACCTTCCAGTACTGAGTGACACTGATCACAAGTTCACCTTGGTCTGTGGCTTTCTCCCTCCTGTATCATAGGGAGAGTAACTTCCATGTGCACAGATGTGGTTTCTGATCCATTAGGGCTTCTGTTGGCAGTGTTCACATTTTTAGAGCTTTTTCTTTGTTTCGTGATTTAGAGAAATGATTCCTGAACTATGATAGCCTTGAACAAAACTAAGGATGGCTGGGAGCAAGAGGAAGCCTCCAGGATCTCATGGAAAAGGGGCCCTCATTTAGGAGGGGATCTTCTGCTGTGGGGAATATATGTTCTTAATAACAGAACTCTGTATGAAAAATCTATCCCCAAGCCTTGGGGATATCCCCAAGCCAATCCCCAAATTGTTGTTTGGAAGGACTTTCCTGCTGCTGCCTGGATACCGTTGGCTCTGCTCTTGAGTAATGAAGGGAAAGATCAGCTGGGACATCTACAAACAGTTGAGCAATGATAAAACACTTTTTCCTGTTTCTTTGGGCAAACTCCTYGTTGCAGAGGGGTTCTTGGGGAGCAGCAGCTTTGGTGTCATTCCTTAGCTCTGCACCCAGATCCCTGGGGTGGATCTCTTGTATCCTACCCAGGACTAGGATTGTTTGTATTCCATGATCACCCTGTGTGTTTGGTTGTGCCAAATGATTCCTTGACATCATTATCCCCTTCTGTTAACTGAGGAGCTTTGGAAGGTGTTTTTCCCTGTTTTTCATAATTTGTACACATAATTGACTATAGTTTAAAGAGAGTTTGGACTGGCAAATTGTTTTGGAGTAGGATCCCTTGCACAAGCAGGCCTTATCCAGAATCAGTGAGGGAGACTTGTCCAGGATTCTGGGATTGAGTCCTTAGAGGAACTTTTCATATTTAGTCCTCCATGTGCTACACTGCACTTAACTGTTTTTTCTTTTTTTGTAAAAAAAAAACCCCAAATCCTTATTTTATAAGGTGGTGGGTGATYAGCTTTTTACCTGTTAATAATGGAAGTCTGGGAAGGAGATGGAATTTTTCCATAGCTTGGTTCTGTTAAGTTCTGTAGTTCCAAAACATAAACTTTGTGGGGGGTTTGTTTTAATAGTCATAGCTTATTTTATGGTTTTGTGGACATTTTTAACATGCACTATTTATAGCACTCTTAATACACATTATTTGAGACTGAATATTCCAATGAACATGCAAATATTTGAACATCATTATCTCACTTAATATTTCAACTGCGAAGCAGACAATAGGCAAAACCAGTTGTTTTTTCACAGACACATGATTAGATGAAGAGGATTTAAGACATAAAATGTTGATTGACATTTTAATATAAAACTCAGTGCTGGGAGACACTTTCCAGCAGTGTTTTCCAGCCAAATAATCTGTTAGTGTTTGTTTTGTTACAGAATGTTTGGGTGGGTTTGCTTTTTGGTTTTTTATTTGACGAAGGGAATGTAATTTAGAAGTCTTCACTGGCAAGTTTTCTACTAATTYTAAGCTTCTTTGAAAATCTACAGCAAATGGATGTTCTGCTGCAGGAAATCTCCCCTGCTGAAGCATTTTTCATTGAGCAATCTTTCATGTGTGTGCTTCTAAGTACCTACTTTGTTAATAATATGTATTTCAGTGTAAAGAGCAGATTTTATGCAAAAATGAAACCTGTTAGACTTGTAAAATAAATTTTAATGTTAGTGAACGTTTTTGAGATGACAAGGTTAATTCTGAAATAACTCTATCTCGTGTAGTTCATGTTGTGAAGCTTTGCTTTTGTAAGATATGAATAAAATAACACTTTCTAATTAGGTCTCACATCAATTCTTAATTGCATATCCTTCCATAGGTGGAGCTGGTGATTTTCCAAATGCTCCTCCCGGGTTAACTCTTTCTGATTCTATGGAATTTCCAAGGATGGTTTGCTCTTGGCTTGATCTCCACAGCCAAGAACAGTTTGATTAGATCTGATTTGACTGTTCCTCTTCCATATCATGGGAAGAGGAGGCACAGAGGCGCCAAGGAAGAGTTTTACCTCAGATCACTCAGCAGCCATGCTCCAAGTACTGCATTTGAAATACTCAACTCCTAAACACTCAACATTCTCCATATCATTATTTAAAAATRTATTTATTTACTACATTGGTTGCCTCATATTGGAATGAAGAAATTACACTTGTAGCAGGGTCAGAATATTTCAGTGTCTTTCCTTGYCTCAAGTCGTCCAGAAATTCTGCTTTCAATTTGTTGAGTTCTTCTGCCAGGCTCTTCATCTCACTTGGGAGAACGTTTTTACCTAAAAGAAAATTAAAGCCAAACTTTTAGCTTCCTGCTTAGAGACAAAACAACAGAATATCCTGAGCTGGAAGGGACCCACAAGGATCACCCAGTCCAGCTCCTGTCCCTGCACACACACAGCCCAGCAATCCCCCCTGAGCATCCCTGGCAGTGCTGTCCAAATGCTCTCCTGGAGCTCTGGGACCATTCCCTGGGGAGCGTGGGCAGTGCCAGCACCCTCTGGGGACAGAAGAACCTTTTCCTGAGATCCACCCTAAACCCCCATGACACAGCTCCAGCCATTCCCTGGATCCTGTCCCTGCTCATAGAGAGAAGCCTGAACTTCTCAGTTAAGGACACTGAGTTGTTCCTCATATAAATCTTAGGAGCAAACCAGTGCAGACTGCAAAGCCCATCACCTTATTGACATGTGGCCCAAAACAGCATTAAATCTCTAAAATGCTGCTCTGTACTAAAAGATTTTATTAAAGCTGTATTTAATACCATTAATAAACATACTGGTTTTCAAATCTACAAACTTCCACAAGTAACTCTGATCACAGTTGTGAAGGTGATTGCCTCAGATAYACCTGCTGGGATAGGATTCCTGAACAGTTTACCCCAAGGGAATTCCAGAGGCAGTTTTCCATTGCCAGTTAGCACCTAGGACAGGTAGGAGAGGTAGAGGAGTTACCTTTGGCATCCTGCATTGCCTGAGAGATGACTCTCCTGCATGCCTGGTCAGCCTGATGGACAGCACTGGCTGCACAGATGGCTCGAGCTGCCTCCTGGCCAGGGCCACCAGGAAGGAAGAAAACAAGCAAACACTTGAAATTTATTTGAATTTTGAAAACAACACATTAGCAACACCCTTAGTCAGCACCCAAAGCTGTGCCCTGARGCCCAGCAGTGCTACCTTTTGCTCTGTGTCCTCCTCGTTTGGCCTCTCTGGATTTTCCAAAGCAGTGACCAGCAAGTTCATGATCTGCTCACTAAGAAACAAACAACAGAGTAAATCACAGCAATCAAACACATAGACTGAGCTTTTTCTTTTCAGATGATGCCACAGAAAGAAAACAGCAAGTTTTCAGTTAAATTTTTGAGGCAATCAGTGAAACAATCTGAGATGAAAAACAATTACAACTAAGATTATTTCCAGCCTTAGTGTTTCAGACAATTTACACAGATTTTCAATGGCAGGGTAGGAATGCAGTGAGTTTTGAGGTTAACTCTGCAAAGGATGGTGGCTGTGAGTTCCCAGTGAGCCTGGCTTGTGTGCAACTGCCTGGCTTCCAAAAATCACCACTGGGAATATTTTTACACACTGTGTCAATACAGTAAGAAGCTTCTACCACTGAAAATAGCACTTAGGTACAACTCCAGGATCAATTCAGTAACATACTTGTCCTCTGAGATGCAATCAGAACTACTCAGAATGAGACTGTGCTGCTCCCAGGCGTTTTTCCTGAGATCTGGCATTTCTATTTTCCTTGCCATTAAATGTATTGTCTGCTCAGGCACAGGATCACTTCTGAGGCGATTCCTCTGCAGGCAGCATTCCACTGGACACTCTAAAAACAACTGACAGAAGCCCAAGGAATCTGAAAAAAGAACAGAACCAGACAATTTTATCTTTAAACAGTTCAAGTAAAAATTTCTGAGAGCAACATGCAGGAGAAAGGCTCTACAGGAACGAGGAGCTTGTGAACTGGTTCTGAGCCTGACATGAAAACAAATCTAGACAGGAACACAAACAACTTTACTATCCAGGCTGCTCAGTAATGTCTGAGATCAACACACAGAACCATGGACCTTAAAGCCCATCCAGTGCCACCCCTGCCATGGGTAGGGACACCTTCCACTGTCCCCGATTGCTCCAAGATCCATCCAACCTGTCCTTGCACACTTGGAAGGATGGGACAGACATAGCATCTCTGGACAGTTTTTACCAGCACCTCAGCACCCTCACAGGAAATTTCTTCCCAATATCCAAAATAACCCAGTGGTCTCAGTGTGAAGCCATCCCCTCTTGTCCTCTCACTCCATGTTCTTGTCCAAARTCYCTCTCCAGCTCCCTTGGAGCCTCCTTATGTACTGGAAGGTGCTTTAAGGAAGCTCTAGGAAGGGTCTTACATGATCTACCAGTTTATAATAAG